TAGAGACTCTGGCGTCTCTTCACAGATGCTCGTGTCTATTCACAAAGGCTCTGGTCCTTCTTACAGAGGCGCTGGTCGCCCATACCTGATCGATTCRGCATYAWTTTCAGGAGTCCAATCCTTAGCCCCGATAGCCTAATAAAACTTTTTAAGAACATCATTAGCATTAAATTAATGCTAACAGATCGTCCTATTTACCTTCTAAAGATTAGTTATAGATCTTATTCTGACGGGTAGTTGACCAAGTTGGTTCATGCAAATGCCAATCAAACTCGAAAYGTTTCACATAAAATAAAGTTGATATTTTAGTCTCATTCCTTTAAAATTTTAAAGATTTCCCAAAGGCCTCAATTCCCTTTTTGTTTAGTTGCCGACTATTTTAAAATAATGACGATTGAAAAGTCCTGGTAAAACCATTTTTGCTATTTTAGATTTTTAGGACTTAGTTTAGAGAAGTAAAAGCCTCTTGGGCTTGGGCCTTTAGAGGCCAGGCCACTACTTCTCTAAAAGCCCCAAATAAATACCCCTTCTCTTTTGAAAACTCTTCATTCTTCAAAAGTTCCAACTTTTTTTTTTTCGTTCTTCCTCTCTAAATCTCATCATCTTCTAGCCGAACTCTTCCCCCTGCAAGTCTAGAAATTCCGCCGCATTTAGGTCGTCCGTATCTCCCTCGTCTACAAAAAAAGGTATGTTCTAAAAACTATTTATTCCTCTTCTGGTGCTCAAATTCCTATTTTCTCTTCCTGCTCAACTCGAGTTTCGGGACTTAAAGATGGTGAGATTATCCATCGAAGACTTACATGTGTCTTCATCGGATGATAATCTGTGACCCAAGGATCTCTTAGGCCCAAAAAAAGAAGAAGAAGAGAGTTCTCGCATATAAGAACCGATTGCACATTCGGGTGATTTGGGTCTTGCATGCATCTCTAAATCAATTCTCTCATCTTGTAGCTTACTGGAACCAAAATCCTCATTGTTTTATTTTCTTTTCTGTAATTTACCTAAGAAATGAGGACTTTGGTGTTAAAAGTCTCGATTCTTGAAAATATTGAGTTCAAAATCCATTCTTGGGCATGCAACCAGTTTTGGGGAGGCGTGTGACTCRAGGCTGTAAATCATTCTTGGGATGGGTGTTAAAACCCACTCAAAATCTCTTAATTAAGATGATTGGCGGCTGCCATCATTTGTCTTGGAATGACATTTAATGATACCAATAATTAGATTTTTGGGAGGTTTCTCTTTAGCCAAATATTTGAAATATCGACTATATTTATGAAAATATTTGGCGATATTGCATTGAAAACAGCTTTACCCAACCTAAGTCATGGAAATTTAGAAGTTCATATTAGTACTGGTTGCTCTGTCAGGAAGTCTGAGCAAGCGATAGCAGGCCTTCTTAAGGAAACATTTGATATTCGCCAAACTTGTGAGTACTTACGGCCCCACTTTTACTGCTTTTGTTATTTTATGGGGTGAAAAGCATGAGATGAGCAAACTTTGCATGTTTATGTTTTATGATACTTGTGAATAAAGAACTGCTCAATCAATTTTTACTTGGAACCTGTTGGGCTAAGGAACTGCTTAGTCGGGTTCTGTTACAACCTCTTGGATTAAGGAACTGCTTAGTTGGGTTGCTATATTTCGTTGATAACTATTATTGCACTTAGAATAAATGCTAAATTGATGTGCATGAGAGTATATGTTTTCAAATAAAAGTCCTCGTCCGCACACGCTACTTGTTAACTCGGGTACATTCCCGGGCCGTGGTATTGTGGATAGCCGCTATTGTGTTGACAGTCCCACTTAGAAAGGGGTGCACAATTACCTATGTTTTCTAGCCTAATCATGTGGAATTTGGACCAC